GGTCAGAACTTATTTGAGAAATAGTTTTAGACATTTTAAAAGCAAAACTACAATTACTTACAAAAACATTTATAAAAATTAAATACCATGAAGTAATAACATCAATATTAGAGTTCTTTTGTATTTTTCAATGCTATAATATATAAATATATGTTAGGGTACAGTAATTTTAAAAGCAAGTCCACATATTCTCTACATTCTAAAATGAGAAAATCCTTCAAGTTGGTTTCAAAATATGGACAAAAACAAATCCATTGGATTGCTTTAAAAAATAAATACACAGTCTCTCCCCTACAACTTAATATGCTAAGTAGGGAAGATGCTAGTCACCATTCTTGTGATAAATACAGATGTAAGTATATAGGTTGATAAGATTTATGTCAATAATATCAACTCTAAATAGTGCTGTACAGTTTAATAAATTATGACTTTACATGTCTGCCACAGTAAGCCACTCTTTCTGTTCTTTTGCACCAAGTACAGTAAAATTTTCCTTTTACAAAATGATTTTAGATGAAGATAACCACAAAAGAAAAGGTTTTTTTCTGGGGGGGGGGGGAGTGCTAATTTTTCCCAAAGAATGTATCACAAACAAATGTCTTTTAGAACACCTATGAAAAGAGAAAAATGTGAATAGTCTTTATTAAGAAATTTAAAATTATAGCAACACCTCAGTTTACCTCAATAGACAAATCTTTTGAAAATGGCGGGGGAAAATTTTTAGTTAAACCAGGCTAAGCACGGAAAGAATGTTCCCTTTGCAATAGAAAAAATAGGATCAGACTCATGTCTGTCCTGCTAAGAGAGATGACTCAAAAGGCCTGATTCTAGGAGCTGGAGAAGTGGGTTACACCGCCTAGTTTCCCAATCTTCTTGAAAAAGCCTCTGAGTTGAAGTACCCTACACAAAGGGGAATTCATATGGAAGATGCCTCTTATATTGTTTCAATTATCCTAAGGAAAGTTTTAATAATTTATATTATTTATGAATCACTTTTCATGAAAAAGGTCACAAGGTTCTTAACATTTTGGGGTTTTTAAATTTGGAAATCCATTTCCTATGCTAAAACTTACTGAAAACAATTCATTTTACTGAAGTACTCTCCTTGGTGACCTAACAGACAACACACTGAGCCAGCATACTTCACATTTACATCCAGATGTTGCTTAGCTATCTAGCAAAACCTGTTTCACTTCTTTAAGTACAATACTGTTATTTCAAGTAGTGTGATTTGTAGTCAGAAGTAGTTCCTTTTGAGTGTACTGCTCATCAAAACAAATTTACACAAAAACAAATAGAAGAAAAATCTGTCAACACACTGAAGTCATACTAGAAAGAGGTCTCAGAAAGGAAGACATAAATAAAATGAGAAAAGGAGGCAGAAAAGAAAGACAAAACCCTAAATACATTTACTTCTTAACATTTAGGATTTAATATAATACGATCCATTATACTTTGGAGTTCAAGTATGCTAACATGTCTCAGGACAAATTTTGTCTCTTAGTGCAAAAATACACTTTCCCACTCAAATCACAAGTACAAAACTTAACCTTACTAAACAGTGTGAATCCTAATAGAGAGTTTATTTTTCTCTTTAATATAGTAATCAACATATCACAAGAACATTCTGTAAACTCATTAAAGGTATAAAAAATGAGATGTGCTATTAAAGAAAAATGCAATTTTTTCATTAACATGCTGAAACATAATTTTAAAGAAACATACACTGACTTTTCCTTTACATTGATTTGGGTATACATTCTGCGTAAATTTTCGAACTGATGATCTAAACAAAAAGTAGAGGCCAAAAACAAATAGCAGCATTTATTTCTGAATGTTTGGATTATTGAATTGTTTGATTTATTCTTTTATAAAGCGAAAACCTTTAATGTTTTGATTTAGCTATTACTACTTTTGTGAAGTGAGGGCCTTCTGTGTGATGCAATTATTGTAATGCCCTTATTTTCATTTGGTAAGAGAGCCAATTTTAATAATTAGACTATCTCTTAAGAATTCTTTTTTTACAAAATGCTCTATTGATAACATGTTATTTAAGTAGTAAAAAAAGTTAATTAGTTAATTACAGGTGATTAAGTTAAAAGTTAATTATAGGTGATTCATGAAAATTACAGATTATAATTACTTTCTGCAATGGTTACTTTGAATTACTGGCTTGTAGAATAACCATACCTAATAACTATCTAAAAAAAATAATAATAATTTAGAAAATTCTAACCAGATATTTATTAACATGTAAGAAAGACATCAAAAAGTAATTGCCAGAGGGCTGGGGATGTGGCTCAGTGGTAAAGCACTTGACTGGTATGCATGAGGCACTGGGTTCGATCCCAGGATACTTAAAAAAAAAAAAAAAGTAATTGCCAGAAATACTTTTTTCAAGAAGTGCATTTTGTATGTAAAGTAGATGAATTTGGTCGCAGTATTTTGCAACAGATGTCATTATATGTTAATAAGCTTCTCAAAATAGAAAAATGTGCCAGGCATGGTGGTGCACACCTGTAAGAGGTGTGGGAGGGTTGGGAGGCTGAGACAGGAGAATCGCAAGTTCAAAGCCAGTCTCATCAATGGTGAGGCACTAAGCAACTCACTAAGACCCTGTCTCTAAATAAAATACAAAATAGGGCTGGGGATGTGACTCAGTGGTCAAGTACCCCTGAGTTCAAACCTTGGTACCAAAAACAAAAACAAAAAGGAAAAAATTTTTGCAAATACCATGGGTTTTCTACACAAAGTGGTTTAAAAAAATATTAACTTAGACCTCCAGAAATGAACTGAGTCTTTAGGGGTTAAATCATTGTCTTCTGAACTCAAATTTACCCAGCAAAAGTAACTTTTGTATATGATTGTATACAAAATCCTATAAGATAAATTCTGCTTTAAAATTTGAATACTCTGGATCACTGAAACAACCATGAATTATTTTGGAAATAATTCAAAAGTCATCATTGAATATATACTATCTGCAAAGTATATGTGTATACATATATGCTTCAATTATTATAATGATAAAAATTTAATAGTAAAGGAAAGAAGTAAGATTCCTTTATATATTCTTATCAATTTACCTTAGGGTGCTATAAAAGATAGTATAATAGTAAATGGAAATTTTCTTTTTTGTTTCTACTTGTACAACAGCATCAGAATATCATGAAAAAACTTGATGAGAAACAACATTCTGCTAAGGAAAAATATTACAAAGTGAACCAAACACTAAAGAATAAAACACAATTTTCATGGGACTTCTGATGAATTAGTCCAAAAAGAGGTTTTTTTTTTTTTCTTTTGCTCTGTGGACTTGTGGTCTTCTGTGTAATAATGAGAAATCAGACCTCTTTCTGGGAAGATCATTTCTACCATGCAACACCTTCAAGCACCACTAGGAAAAATAACATAGCTAACAATTTGTTTTTGTCTTTCTAAATTCCAGTGCATAATCATCAACTCAATTTCCTCACAATAGTTTTGTGAGGTAGATCTGTAGATAAACAGCAGTGTCATCTTCAATTGCAAATGAAGAAATTGAGGCACTGAAAGGTCACATGATCTGCCTAAGGAAAATTCTGAAATTACAAATGGTATTAAATTACTGCTTCTGGCCTACTGCTCTCAGACCACACAGCACAATAAAAAAAAGGTATAGGTGTCCTCCTCAGGCGTGATGGCATGTGCCTGTAATCCCAGAGGCTCAGAAGACTGAGGCAAGAGGATCACAAGTTCAAAGCCAGCCTCAGCAATGGCGAGGCACTAAACAACTCAGTGAGACCCTGTCTCTACATAAAATACAAAATAGGGCTGGGGATGTGGCTCAGTGGTTGAGTACCCCTGAGTTCAATTCCTGGTAACCCCTCCACCCAAAAAAAAGGTATAGGTATAGGTATCCTCAAATAAGCAGTCTCTATGACCTTCAATTAATAGTAAATATATCCACTGATAATTATTTTAAAGGGACCAAATATCAAAGATTATAAAAACACAAAGATTAAAAAAAATCAGATAATTAGGATGACGCACTGTTTTTTTCAGTACCTGCATAGAACTGTCTTTAAAACATTACATGATAACACTCATTAAAGAGAGAAATTAAAATTTTAAATTTATGACTCAAGAAAAGATTAGCTTCAAGAAACATAGAGCACATTATTAGGATGACCATATAATTCATCTTCAAATGGACACAGCTGAGAGTGAAAGTAATAATTACAAGGATAATAGGTATTAAACTGAAACTTGATCTGGGCAAGCTCAAGTATGGTCATCAAATATAGCATGGGATTTGAAATATTGTACAAATATTTCAGTGCCACAAAAACTTCTCTGCCAAGCATGTTACATTTAATCATGTTCACTTTGCAATAAAGCTATGATGTTTTAAAATAAATATCTAACTTTGACTTAAACAAAAAGATTAAAACAAGCAATTGAAAATAATAAGCATGTTTAACCAACAAGTTATTATTTTACATTTTCATTCTAATTCAGTTTTCTGTTTTCTATAAACCACAATTTAAGTGCTAGCAATAAAAGTAAATGGATTCATTTCTTAACCTTTGAATAACCAGATTTTTCTTTTTAAAAAGTGTAAACAGGCACCTTTAAATATGAGAGAATTTTTGGAACTCTTTGGTTATTAAAACAAATAAAACTATTCACCATTAATGCTTAGAATTTCTCCTTCAATGGAAAAATCAACACTGAAATCAATATACTAAATGCTAAAAGTAAAAATTTCTCTCTTAAATGAAATTGTTTTACAGAGGAATACCAAAATCATAAAAAATTCCATTTACTACAAGGACTGAAAGAATACTGTATTACTTGATTAGAGTATACATCCTAAAGACACTAATGCTATCAGTTGAATTATAATTTTAGTAATACATGCAAAAACCTCCACTAATTTACACACAGCCTTGAAAAAGAGCTTTTTTACATTCAGTTATGTCTGATAAGCAAGTCTTATTTTAAGACATAGGTTTTGAGAATATGGTTATTATCTGAGGTCTCCACTCATTTATATTTCTTTGGGAAATATAGGTTGAACATACTTTTTAGAAACAGCAAAAATATAATCACAATAATAAAACTGTATAATATTATTTAGTATGACTTATGGCTTTCTTGGACCTTTAATATAACTCTCCTGAAAAAAAATAACTGAAACAAACTGGATTACATGTTCTCAACATATACTGATCTTTATCATGAATTAAATCCTTCTATTGTGACCGTATTCCTAAGGCAGACACTTAGGGAATGGTGCAATAAATCCTAATAGAAAAGATGATACTCTAACTCAGGGAACAATAAACTATTATTACTAAGATGTAATTAATTCTCAGTGCCTTTTTGTTGTTCTGATATTTCACTGAGAGTACAGAGGAAATTCTGTGGCACAGAGATGTTCATAAAGACTGAACTTATGTTTTGACCTTCATTAGTCATTGCATGAATTTTTCCAGACTTTAGACATCATCAAATATTATGCTGGAAGACATTGAGAGATATCGTCCACCAGGTTGATACCTAAAAGATGAACATAAAGAAATGATCTGAAGCATCAAAAATAATAAAGACAGAAAAATGAGAACACATTAAAAGGAACTGACTATATAATTGGTAAGTACCATAAAATCTATTCAGTAGCTGAAAGCAGGAACTTACCTTCCAAGTGTATTATCCAAAAGGACTTAATTATAAATCAACCAGCAACTGTCTTAGAGCTGTATAATACATACATGTAGATACATGTATGAAAGAGTGAAGGATATAAAAAAATGGGGAAGGGATGCAAGACACATCCAGGAAATTAATCAATTTCATAACCACTCTTAATTGTTGAATATAAATAGAATATTCTAGGTTTTTTTTGCTATTTATAGGCAATATGGTAAATATCTTTATGCATGTGGTATTTTGCTTTTATTATTTTCTCATAGAATACTTGCTAATGGAACAGCTTCCAAAGTAAAAGTAGAGTTTGCTCTATTAGAATGAATGCTTGACTTGACATTTAGGCAAATTACTACAATGCCTCTCTGGATTTAAATATAATTGGATTTTAAACTAAATATAAAATGTTAAAGTTCTTAGAATCATGTCTGACATCAACACATAATCTTGCAGTTGTGGCTAAATATAATACGCTTAATACATAGAAATGTCAGGAACAGACATAATATTGCTGTGATTATTTATATATTTCAATTTTTTTTTCTTGTTTATAATACCACTTGTATACTTGTATTATATGAAAACACCAATTTACATTATCATTAATGAATACCTTAATGTTGTTTAATACATAACAGCATCAGAGGGTATAAAAAGGTTTCAAAGGTTACCAATATGCTTTTTATTAGTAGTAAAGATGTACTATGTGTGTGTGTGTGTGTGTGTGTTGCTTGGTGTTAAAAAACAGGACCTCATACATATTAGGCAAGTGCCCTACCCAATGAGCTATGTCCCCAGCCCAATTTATATATCTTTTATGTTTATTTATTACTTGTTTTCAACTTTCTCAATCAGTATGTTCCTAAAATTTCAGAGGAATGCTAGAGCCAAAAGGACTCAGCCAAAACTTACCTTCCTGATTCAGATTCAAGAGGATCATCAGTGAATGTTTCTGCATTAAAATCCAAAGGTTCTGCATCTTGGAGAAGTTCTATTCGGTCCCTTTCAGTTTTATTATTAGCTCTGGTATATTTGGATGCTGTTCAAAAGAAGAAAAAAATGTCTACTTCCCTATCACCTTTTAATTTGTGGGTCACAGTCTATAGATTCACAGAAAAAAAAAAAATCAAGATTATAAAGGAGCCAGATCTTGATTGTGAAAACAAATAACATAAGAAAAGATAACTAATGGTTCTTTAAAAATCAGATTAAAATTGCAAACAGTATAATAGAATGTAATAACAAAAATTTCTCCAGTCTTGTAGTTAGATCTAGCTGAGAGGCAGATCTGGTACAAAGACTTAAATAGTATGAATCAGAGTTACTATTTAACTATGATATTGTAATAGGGAATTGTTCATTATCAAATCAAGTTCCAGTTGCTTTCATAGTGAATCTCATTTTTTTGGCTAGACTTTACAAGATAATAAACTCATCCTTTTAAAGAAAGGCCTTAGTTTTCTTCCCATGAGGTAAGAGTATGGGTGATACTGGCCAGCAAAAATAAAATTTGAGTTCCATATTTAATTCGAAATTTTCTAGTAACTGCATTAAAAAGTAAAAATACAAAGATAAAATGAACTTTAATATGTTTAATTTAATCCAATATATTCAAAATGTTATCAACATGGGGCGCCAGCCACATTGCAAGTATTCAATGGTTACATGTGGCTAATAGTTATCATACTAATCAGTACAAATCTAGAGAACTAATTCTTCCTTTTCTACATAAACGGAAATTTCTTTCTTTCTTTCTTTCTTTTTTTTTTAAAGCAGGAAGCATTGTAGTATATCTTTATGTATTTATTTGAGGTGCTCAGAATGGAACCCAGGACTTCTTGCATGCCAGGCAGACACTCTTACCATTGAGCCTCACTCCTACCCCATAGATGTGGATTTCTACATAACAACTTAAATTCTCACAATGTTGTTGTAAATCTAATCTAATCCAAATAGATTCAAAACAACTTCTAATATAGTTTATTTAAAAAACTTAAAGCACACTATCCATATTTTACATTTTTGTCATCTCAGACTCAGCTTTAAAGGAAGTCTTTGTCATGTTTCTCACTCATTCATTCAGCAAATTATGGTTAAATACCACATTCCAGGTTTTTCTCTAGTTCATCTAAGGCTTTATGCCTCTCTCCTCTTAACCATTCCCCCGTACTCCCAGATCTTTCCATTCTATAAACTTCTACTCAGTGGTAAGAGTTCAAAATTTCTTTACAGATTCCTCTATTTCCTAGCTTTAACTAAAACTCTAGCCCTCTCCTTCTTAATTCTACCCTATATATCATTTAAATAAACCCTTTTCTTTTTATCTTCAGGATCACTGCCTTATTTTAGGCCCTCCTTGTTTCTTAACTGCATTACTGTAACAGACTCTAAAAAGTTTTTTATGGTTTTTCTTTTCTGAAAATTATGGCATCAAATGATTGATCTTTATCATGATTCATCTTTATCATGCTTCTTCCCAGATTAAAATCTTACCTTTAGGATAAAATCTAAACTTTTGAGCATGACAGTATCTGTTCCTCCAACTATCTCTGTGGCTTTCTTTCGTATCAGCCAGCTTATGCTCAGGCTGCCATCACAGAGAAAGACATGCATACTTCTAAAGGCTCTTTCATGTCCCTATGTCTTGCACTCATTCTGATTAGAACACCCTTTACCTAGCTAAATACCATTCATTCCTCAATGTTCAGACAAATGTTTACAGAAATATTTTTGTATTACACAACTCCTTTCCCAAGACAGAACTCTTTTTCCATTTCCCTAGGTGGGTTCCTTCAGCACCATGTGTACACCCTTCAGTAATAACTCTCCTGACAAATCTAAATATTACAAATAATCTATAATTAAAATGTTGCTGACATTCCCATTTGCCTCTTATGTATAGTTTCCATCTGGAGAAATTCCCACCCCCCCCCTCTGTTCATGCACATTATCCAATCTTTCTATTAGATATTTTAATGTACTAATTCATTCTACAGTCTAATAATTCCAACACTTGAGCTGCTTCTATGTCTAATTTGTTGAATATTTTATATTTTAAAGATGGCTAATATTTTCTTAGTTCCTTGTGTATTTCATAATTTTGGTTAAATGCCAGACATTTTGTATAAAAGAAGAAATTAAGATAAATAACTGTTATGTGCTCAGAATGGGTCATCTTAGTATTGTAGGATTGAATCAATTTAATCTGGATTTGGACTTTGTTGTTGCTTTAGTTCCCTTAAATCTCCACAGATTTCACATTTCTCCTGCAATGAACCATCATTGCCTCATACCTGGGAGGGCCCCAAGTTGTTAGATGGTTTCTCTCAGTATTCTTTTCCACCTTCATATTTCAGCCACAGAGGGGGTTCTCCATTTTCTACTTCTCCAATAGTAGCCTAACGTTGTGTAAAACTTCTTGTTGGGCTCAGCTTTCCTGCCCAATCCTCAGTCTTAGGCAGATTTCTGTGCACTGAGGCCTCAGTGGTGGGGCTCCTTCAGCAACATCATATCTCTCCCAGTGACAGACTTTGCCTTCTACACAGTACAAAGTCCTAGACGGAAATAGGTTTCTTGGCACCTTCCCAGGGGCAAATGGTTTCTGCCTTATGTCAGTACAGAGTCAGCACTATGGGAAAGTTTCTTAACACATACCAGTGACTGATGGCTTCTGCCTGGTATCAGTTCTTTGCTAAATTATAAGCATCATGAGGACAAGAAATGTACCTTCTCTTTATCAGTGTATATATGGAAAGTACCTGAATACAAGAGTCAGCCAATAAACAATTGTAAAACCAGCTGAATACCCACATCTACAAAAAAAAAAATCAAGGTAAATAATAGAAACAAGTACCTGCCTAACACATTGAACAAGTGCTTTTATATTTAGGTTAGTATACTTATAGTATTCATTTGATGTCTTAATTTCTCCTTTTCCTACCAAAATGCACATTTGAGTTTACCCTTCCTTGTATATACTAAAGAATGTGAAAAAGGAAAGTCACTGCAGATGCACGTTTACAATTCTACAGAGATATTTCTGGAGGGGAATCCTAACTATCAGTCTCTATGCAAGTAAGCACAAGAAAAATATTTTAAAGCAAACTAGAAAATAAACTACTTACACCAATTGGTATTGATATCTGAGAAATTTGACTCTTTTGGGTCAGGATGAACATTTCTGTTTCTAGTGGAATCTTCTCTATTATGTCCATAACGTTCTTTCCATTCCTAGAAAAGAAACATAAATTAATATATAACAAAAGAACAGAGAATATTTCATCAGTGTCAAAAGTCTATATGCAGGGTAATATAACAATCATTTTCTCTCAGAAATTTATTAGTAATAGTATAATTGCCATAGTGCCTTTAAAAATCAGATACTAAGCACTAGTGTTTGCCTAGCATGCACAGTGCCCTGAGTTCAATCCTCAGTACCTTAAAAAAAAAGCCAATGTTTTTATCTTCACATGATTTATTAAAACTAGCCTCTATAAACTTTAATCTTTTATTTTCAGAGACACAGACAAAGGTTTATTTAGGAAAACAGAGACACATTAAAGGGAGAATGTAGGCCATCTCCAGAGGGAGATACAGCCTATAAACTTTAATTCTTAACGAAAACATTTAAAGACACTTGCCAGCTATGATTATGTTAAACTTTTATTCTAACTAAAATTTGAAACAGTGTTCCAATAAACTTGTGGACTATGGAAAAACTATGAAATTATGTGATTAAGATTCTAATAAAAATTTCTTTCAAATTCACTACAAATGCTAGAGACCTGAAGTAATTTTTGATAGTATAATTAAAGTTGATTCACATAGAATTGTGAGTTATATGTAGTAAAGTCACATTAACTGAGATTCCATTAATTAAATTCTTAGAATTGAAATGGCTATTCAAGATCACCTGATTCAACCTTCCACGTAATACAGGGACTCATTGTAAAATATCCATGCCAGATGCTTTTTAGCTCTTCAACTAGATAATATCATTTTCTATGTTTGGGCAGTCTATTACAATTTTGGTAAATTATAGAAGTCAGAAATTCTCATAGAGAAGTGAAATCTACCTCCTGTACCTTCTACTCTTTGATTCTAGTATTCTTCTACTTTTCTGAAATAAAGAACAAGTCTCCCCTTCACATGACATACACTAAAATATATCAGCATAAACACAATCAATTATTAAAAATTTGTGGAAACCATGAATAGATTTTCTCAGTTTTTGTGTTTTCATTCTAGGAGGAGGTCTGTTTCCTCAGCAAATACTAAAGAAAAAATTAAGGAGGAAAAGAATTAATGCATTATTACAAAAATGTAACAATTTTAAAGTAATCCAAACCACTTTATTAGGAAGACTACATGAATTCACTCATTCACTCAACAAATATTTACTGACTACATGCCTTAGATGAGAAACTGCTTGATGTTGAATAAGAAATAATTTATTACTAATGATATTTTAGAACAAGTCTGACAGGAAACCTAGCATGTGTATGTAAAAGTAATAAAATTCTCCTCCTTTAACAATACATCCTATGCCATATTCCCGCTGCTCTTCTGTCTTCAGCTAATTATTACAATTCTTACAATATTTCACATTAATCAATAGGTTATAACAATGTAATAAATATTGTACTTACTCTTCTTCGATTTTCACCTTCTTCTTGCCTTTGCCTTTTTCTCTTTTCTGGAGATAGAAAAAGAGCCTCAAATTTGGTATAATATGGTTTAATCAGACATAGAGTAAAATGAAATAAAGATATCAGTCTATGACCAATATTTCTTTTAAATAACTACAAAATCAAACGTAATAAGTCATTTTTAGAAAGGACTTGAGAAGTAACCTAACCACACAGGGCTCATTTTCTTTATATTTGGTGAAGATGGCCATGTAGTCTCTGTCAAATAGCTTTAGTGAAGGAAAACACTTTTTCCTCATGATGACCTGAAATTTGTTTCTCTGTAACTTTTTTTCTTTTTTAGTCCTATCTTCTAAACTAAGTTCATATTTCTGTTCTTTCTGTATAAGTGTTTTTCTCTTGTTACTCTTTTCAGGTTATACACTCACCCTTTTGGGTCCCAATCTCCCCTAGAATATGCTCTAAAAGTGTAAAATTCTGGCTATCCTCTTAACATTTTCCAATTCATCAATCTTATTTGTAAAAATCTTACTCAGGACTGGACATGATATGCCAGATGAGTTCTAATTAATGCAGAAAGCATTATATCAACTAGACATTCCCTTCTTTTAAAGCATGTGAAGGCTATGCAAGATAATTTTGGAGTATATCTAAGAACCAACGTTCTAAAGTCTATGCTTTTCCCACTTTCCCATCATCATCTGAACATCAGTAAATTTAATACTTTCAATTTTGAGAATAGGTTCTAATAGACTGCTATATATATTCTAACAGTACTAACATTCTCACATTAATAATCATTATATTCTTTAAAAAAATACTCTTGGTTGAATGATTTCCCAAGTAGTTATCAAACTGATAGTTTTTTAAATAAATGAATTTTATACTTGCATAGACCTTGGCAAATATGTTTCAAGGCAAACGTGAAAACAACTAAAAGATAATACAAATGTGTTATGTAATTGTAGACATACTTTAGAATGCAGAACTTATTAAACAATTATATTTCCTAAGAAAGCTGTGTGTGTAGATTTTTAGCTAAAAAATTTGTAAACTTCTAATTGCTGAAAAGAGATTTAAAATTATTTACAAATTATACAAACATTAATTTTGTACTTTGAATCTTAGTACTTAGCATTTTCCCTTCATTTACTTTATTTATTTATTTTCACATTTGAATCAAATGGGGTGTAATTTCTCATTTTTCCAAGTGTGCAGAATCACATTGGTTATACAGACACGTATATACATACAGCAATACTAGTGTCTATTTTATTCTGCTGCCCTTCCTGTCTCCCCTTCCCCATCCCTCCCCTCCCATCACTTCTCTCTACCCAATCTAATGTGACACATTTCTTTTTTTTAAATCTTACCTCGTCTGATTAATTCTTTTCCTTCATCAACTAAATCTGATGTCATATCATTATCACCCATGAACTGCTGGAAACCAAGCAGATTCAAACAACGGGTTCCCAAACTAATAAAAGTAGATTTTCAAAAAGACAAGCATTATTTTACATTGTAAATATTTAGGTAAACTTTTCATTAGCACTGTCACCCCCAAAGAAGCTTATGCTTCATTTTTAGTTATCATGGCAAGTATGTAGTATTACATCCGTCATTCATCAAGAAGCACTTGTTTCACTTTCTGAAACTTAAGTCCAGTACTTCACTAACTAGGGGTTATTATACCCAGATTTCTTATGGAAGCAAACTATGTTAGGCCCTTAGCATATCTTCAGAAAACAATTATACCAGGATGCTAAATAATGACTATCATACAAGAACAACTTATTACTTTCAAATAACAGTTTTACAACTGAAATGCACACATAAAACCTGCATTTTCAAATGCAGAATATTCTGGTTTAGAAAGTCTTAAATATGCAAATTGATTTTAATGTTCTATTTTTCTTCCTGAGAACTAGTCAGTTATATTTAAATTTTTAAAGTTATATATTGTAAAGTAATCTACGCCTTATCTGTGGGCTTTTACCTCAGATTTTATTTGCTATTTACTTTAAATCTGATTGTGGTGCAGCACAGAAGTACTAGTACTCTGAAAGCATGGTACACAAGGAAGGCAGGAATAGATGGAAAGGCAGAATTAATATTGTTAGTATTATGCATGAGACAATTTACAGATGCTTTTATTTAATTCTTACTATAACCCTAATGTAAGACTGGAAGACACCGCACCACAGGACACAGATTACCAAAGAGGTTTCCGTTTTATTACAAAAGGCTGTGTGTTTATACAGGTCTAAGGAGAGGTAGCAGGGGCTGAGGTAGATAACAGGTCGCCCGTTTATTGGCAAGCTCTTCCATATGTCAGTTCCGGAGTCCAAGAAGTTAATTCTAATTGGGGTTAAGGCTTCCCACCAGCAGGGTTTGAACATTGGTGCCGGCGGGAACGTTTCGCGCCAGTGAAAGAGACAAAGAGGGGAAAGAGGGTCGTTAGACACCATGTTGGGGTTTTTTTCTGGGGTGATGCCGCCGTTATATGTTTTCCCAACACCTAAGAAATAAATATCACTTTTCTGATAAGGAAACAGGCCCATGGAGTTAAATTGTTTGCTAAAAATCTCTTAATAAATACAGAGCTGGGACTTCAATCCAAGACAAAAATTTTAAAAGTGCTTGTTTTATTACATTTAGTTCTCCGACTTGTTTACTGATGTGCTTTAAAAAATAAAAAAAAAAAAAAAAAAAAAAAAAAATATTTATATATATATATATATTTTGTAGATAGACACACAGTATCTTTATTTATTTTTGAGGATCAAACCCAGTGCCTCATACATGTGAGGCAAGCACGTTATCACTGAGCTACAGCCCCAGTCCCTGATGTGCTTTTAATTGCAGAAACCTGAATTCCAGAGGCAAAAGGGGAAGAAAGAGGCAAGGATGAAAATTAAGTGTATGAAGAAGGAAAAACAGGTAGTTGAAGTGAAGATCTACCATTTACATTAAATGTGTAAATATCTGGCTAATTCAGAATACATATGCATGTTTCAATATAAAGAATATTTTATACAGATTACCATTGAGTGAAATTAGGCTTTCAGGTAGATAATTATGTTAATTCTGTGACTTTAAATACTTCTTTAACCTCTTCATATCTTTGGAGGGAATGAGAAGCATGAAACTAGTTTCTGGAAAGGTCTTTGTCTAAAGTGCCAGGAAACAACCTAACTCTGTCTGGGCAAATAAATCTGAACATTATCTGTGGGTCTGGCTTTTCTGCTCCTAGTATAAGAATTAAACTGTGACAGCACTACAAATGAAAATGGACCTATAAAGTCAAGTTACATATAAGTGTCAGTAAGATATCACTTCATACATTTCTATAACACAATATTTATTTTATGAGATAATTTAAAAATTGAGGAATATGACTTTTTTTTTTTTTTAGTTCTAAATGGGTACAATACCTTTATTTTATTTATTTATTTTTACGTGGTGCTGGGATCAAACCCAATGCTGCACATGGTAGGCAAGAGCTCTCTAGCACTGATCTACAACTCCAGCTCCTGATCTCTTACTTAAATATAAAAAGACATTCAATGTTCATCCCAACTCCAGAAAAACACTTTTAATAATTCTTTTTAATTTTTAGACATAATGATTCCTTTTAAGATTTTATAGTAGACAGAGTACTATTCTACTCCTTATCCCTTGATCCATATAATCATCTCATCTCAAAATACTAATACTTCTAACATAACTACTGACATGAAAATACATCATTTATGTATCACAAGTACTTAATGTTCCACTGATAGTTTTATAAGTTTTTAAAATGAATAAGCATATCATCAAAACTTAGTTTTAGACATACAAAGTATGATTAGTCTCTTCTTTTAATAATTCATTTTTGAATTATAAATTTGTTTTTGTCCTTTCTACCTTAAAGGAAAAACTCAAAATATCAGATTTGCTATCAGTTGTTATTAACAACATAATTTAAACTATAGTCTTTGTGGGGCATGGTGGCACACGCCTGTAATCTTGGCAACTCGAGAGGCTAAAGCAGAAGGATTCCAAGTCCGAGGCAAATCTCAACAACACAGTGAAGCCCTAAGCAACTTAGTGAGACCATGCCTCATAAAAAATAAAAAAATACAAAAAAAATGGATGTGGCTTAGTGATAAAGAGCTCCTGGGTTCAATCTTATGAGAAGATAAAATATAAATACCTTTTAAAATTCAACAAAGAATTTATTTTAAAAAATATCCATTTATTCTTTACCTATTAGTAAATATTATTTACAATAACTATGTAGTGATATTGGAAAATTTAAATGAAAAACAGGTAGACAAATGTTGTTTTCATTAGAGAATCGAACTGATTAACATTAATAAGACATTTTTGCTAAAGTGATATTTTGGGTGTGTTGTGGAACACTTACACAGAGAGGGCAGACAGAATACATACAATATAGGGTGCAGATACCTGACATATGAAAGCAGATAAGATAGGGTATGAGAAGTCACACACAACTGTCTATTAACTCCTTTTGAATTCCAGCCAAGATTCCACCTTTCTCTCTAATCTCACAAAAGAAAACTAAGGGAGAATTTCTTCCATAACCCTATGTTTTTTTCCTGACTATAATTGTTCCTCACCCGACCTTTTGCACTGACCATGACCTGAGGAATCTAGAAATCCAGCAATAATTATCTGGAAAGCCCTAAATTATGTTATTGGAAAGAAGCTGGACAAGCTGAAGGGTTTTGTAAGCTATACTGGCTGTCGGTGTCAAAGATCAGGATTTAGAAGTTAATATTCTGTAATTAACCCTACCATTGTGTAGCCTGAATAACTGTAGTAAAATAACTCTACCTCCTTTTTCTTTAAAATATCCTCATAGGAAGAACCAGACCTGATCACTCAAGCAGTCCCTTCAAACTATCCCAGCTCCCCCAAAACCAAAATAAAGCAAACAACTAAAACCCAACCAATAAATGTTTTTTAAAGTTTTAAAAAGAAAAGATACCCAATACAACTATGAATATGAGAAAAGTAATGTTAAGCTTCTTACCTAAAATAAGTAGCAATGCACAGAATTACCACTAACATAGGATAATATATATAGAATCCATCTGCAATAAAGGATAAAACTTTCATGGAACCCATAATCTGAAGAGCAAGAAAAAAGTAAGTTAAATCAGCATAGTTCTATATTTTTCATTCCTTCTTGTCATTAGAAAATTTACCTACAACCATAGTCAGATTAATAAACTGAATTTATCAAAAAATAGAAGCAATACACTAAGCGGTCAAATTTTTAAAAATTTTGTTTTTTTAATCCAAATTTTCTCTTAAGTTTTTAATAGTCTTATTAAGGTTAATATTCTATAGGTCAGGTCTTTGGATACCCTTCTGATAGACAACTTATGTACAAAAAAACATTTTTTTATGATGAAAAGCAAAATCACTTTTATCCAGTCAGCATTAGTAATCACATATACATTGTTAAGAAAAAGTTCAATTTTTTTTTTTCCAATGGTACTAGGGATTAAATCCAGGAGTGGGGAGTATACTACTGGGCTCTATTCCCTGCCCTTTTTTATTTTGAGACAGGGTCTCACTAAGTTGCCCAGGCTAGCCTTGAACTTGAGATCCTCCTGCCTCTTCTCCCAAGTAATTGGGATTACAAATGTCTATTACCACACTCAGCAGGAGAAATTTTCAGTCACAAAAATGAGTTTAAAAGTGCTATAGTACATTTTTGCCAGCATTAAAAGAAAGTTTACAATAATGATCTCTCATAGAGATAATGAATTCTGTTTTCTGGCCATACTTACAGATGTATAAGCAGTTGGTTGAGTATTCTTGTGAGAGATGGATGAATCCATATGGGTCAGACCCAAGAAATTAAGACATAAAGGAGGAGTCAAGCGGCAAAATAACCTGCAGTAAATATTTTTTAAAACCAGAAAATATAAAAAACAGTGCAGCAAAAGATATTTTATATTACATTGAATGTACTAAAAACATTTCAAATCATTATAGCTATAGTATTCATTTATTTGCACCATATACATTTTGAATTTTTAACATGAATATCCCTTAGTCACTTGGGAGACATTCTGAAAATCCTATTAATCATATCCCCCTTAAAACCATCAAAATCTACATGTCAAAACTACAGCCTCAGGCTCCTTGTCACAGTGGTATCCCATAATTTGTGAAGTTCCTTTGTATGCACCTCTTTTAACTCTACTATCTGTGCAATGTATCTCACAGCATGGCAATGACAGTAACATTCTCAAGGGGTATGGTACTCTGTACATAAAAGATCTAAAGTTGCATCAAAATGTTCATTCTCACAGGTATAGTGAGTATAAAGGGTTGTTCAGTTTTAAAAAGTACCCTACAAAACTTCATATGTAGAGAATTGAGTGTGGGAAGAAAGAAGAAACGAGAATATAGAGAGGTATTATGAGGAAGCTCTTTTGTGGTGAGTGAACATCTTTGAGCCCCACCCTTAGAAATGCCTCAAATGACTGATTTGAAAATACATAATAGATTGTGCAACCCAGCCCAACCTAGAGCCATTTCTCTAAACTCTGAATTCCTCAGGAAAAATTATTCCTGTTGGTTTTCTTTATATTCTTCAATTCAGTTTAGGCCACTGATTCTGTGAATATTCTCTAAGTATGAATTAATATTTATAAACTTTCAATTGTTTCTATCACTTATTTATCTACATACTGAATCTCTAATTGGTAAATTCAAGCTCACTATGTCTTACTTCTCCTTTGTAATCTAGGATATGTAACATTGTGGTTTAAATATGAGATGCTCCTTGAAAAGCTCATGTTGCAAAGCTCTAGAAATGAAATGATTAGATGATGAGAGCTGAAACCTAATAAATGGATTAATCCATTTGATGGATTAATAATATAAATGAATTACTGGTGGTAACTGTGAACAGTGGGGTGTATCTGGAGGAAGAAAGTCACTGGGGACTTGCCCTTGAGGATTACACTTTGTCCTTGGCTTTCTCTCTCTCTCTCTCTCTCTCTCTCTCTCTCTCTCTCTCTTTCTCTCTCTCTGTTTCCCAGCTTCCATGAACAGAATAGTTTTCCTCCTCCATGACCTCACAGCATGATGTTCTGCCTCACTTCAGGCCCACAGAATTGGAGTCTGCTGACCATGAACAGAGATGACTGAGACTTCTGAAACTATGAGCCCAAAATAAACTTTTCCTTCTCTAAGTTGTTCTTGTCACAAATCTTGATCACAGCAATGACAAGCTGACTAACACACCTAGTTTAACCTTAAACCTCAAGGAGGATTTATCTGTGAATCAACAAACATTATTCAATACTTAAAGCCTTATCAATCATATCATAGAAATACATGCAACATTCATAAAAAAACAATAAAAGAGAGGTCCATTATAATGCATGCAATGGATATATTTCTCTTATTTCTAAACTCAATCCAACTTACATGCCACTGAAAAGAAGACTGTAAGCATCAGTCTGGTGATGTGAAGCCAAGTAATAATAGTTAAATACACGAATCCTAAATACAGTAGAATAAACACAGATACTTAGGAAGAAGATAGACAGAAAGCAAGCAATCTGAAAAAAACAAAAACAGAACAGTTTAAGACTAACGGACTTTATTATTTTATATACTATAATAAGCATTACCGATCATTTCCTAATACTTATTGATGTCCTAAAATTAAAATACAATAAAGTAGTTTTTAAAAATCACCTAAGAAAATGAAATTATATAAAAATAATCTACATTTCAACCAGTTCAACATCCTAGACCCATAAATTTCAAATCTACCTCCTGAAGTGAGCCTGTTTTCCCATTCCCTTGGCAACTCTTCACATGAAGATTATAAGTTATGTAGCTTCATTGGCATAAAGTGGATCAAAGTATTCTCATAAAACAATTTTTCACTAGCTCTCCTCAAATACAGCTCTTAGTGTCTTATACTCTGGGTAAATTGAAGAAGTTCATTTTTGGAAGTATGACTAATAACATTGTGGGAAACTTCACTGGTTTTATTATTACTGGAAGAAACGTATGAGAAAAGATACAACAGTTAAGGATTATGCTATGAACAGACATGTATTTTATGACAGATATTAAATAAACTGACCTCAATATAAATATAATTGTAAGTTCTTTCTGCCAGCTGTATGAAGACTGCAAAGAGGGATAAGACAGGAGTTGTGCTAAAGAATGTGCACTCTGACCACACAACAATCACAGAAAAGATAGACAAAACCACAGCAAGTATCCTGTAAAACCATGGTCGCAAAAGACATTCCCAGTACCATTCTGGAAAATTAAAGAAAAAATACAATTAGGAAAACTAGAGGAGTAAAAGGGTATTGACAATATTTCACAATCTCTCCCAACAAGATAATTATAAAAAGAAAAATAGCAATTTTATAGTGGATGGATCTTGCAGACATACCCTGACCAAATGATCACCAGTAAGGGGGACAAAGTGACATGGTGCTTCTTGCTATGATGCACTAAGAAGAGCATGTTATCTTTGCTATGGTATTTCTGCTCAAAATGCATAACCTACATCTAATCATGAGACATATCAAACTCAAATTCAGGGACATTGAATAAACAGCTGGCCTGTACTTTCCACAAACACCTCAGTTATAAAACACAAAGACTAAAAACATTAAAGATTAAAGGAGACTTTATGGTAGGATAAATGCTCCTACTAATTTTTTCCCAATACTCTGGAGGGCACTGAAAAAAAAACAGGGGCTAGAGTTGTGGCTCAGTGGTAGAGCACTTGCCTGACATATGTGAGGCACTGGGTTCGATTCTCAGCACCACATATAAATAAATGAATAAAATAAAGGCCTAAACTAAAAAAAAAAATATTTAAAAAAGAAAACAGATTTTGAAAACTTTAATTATAAAAGTTATTTTTATTAAAAAATCTTTCATTCTTGGGCATTTCTAATTTTTCTCTAGTCTTCATAAATAAGACTAGAATGTAGGGGGCTGGGGATGTGGCTCAAGCGGTAGCATGCTCGCCTGGCATGTGTGCGGCCCGCGTTCGATCCTCAGTACCACATACAAACAAAGATGTTGTGCCCGCCGAAAATTAAAAAATAAATATTAAAAAATTCTCTCTCACTCTCTCTCTCTCTTTAAAAAAAAATACTAGAATGTAAATAAGCAAAGAGGATTTCTTAGGGGATATTTTAGTAGTATGTCAATATGACTCAAGCTGGTGATTTATAGTTGCTTAAAATTATAATTAGTTTAAATATATATTATATATAATATGCTTGAGATATTACATATATTTTTGTAATACATTTTAGAATTTAATCATTTTTGAAGTAACACTGGAAACTAATGGATATGATAAATTTTTTTTTTAGTATTTTTTTAGTTGTCAATGGACTTTATTTATTATATTCAGTGCTGAGAATCAAACCCAGTGCCTCACACATGCTAGGCAAGTGCTCTATCACTGAGCTACAACCCCAGCTCAGATAATATATTTTTACAAGTAAAATAGTTACCCCATATTACCACATGGTATAAACTAAATAATACAAGTAAAATTCAGCTTTGCACTGAGAAAATATGCACTTTTTCCTGTAGAAAAAATACTACTAAACTTTGAAATTTATATGAAATTCCATACCAACTGTAGGATTATAAAAATACTGGATAAATCGATTTTCAGGCTCTGGTGATTGAAAGGTGTGAACAAACTGATGAGTTGCACTAGTTTCATTTTTCGCTACATCTTCTAGATAAAATGCCTGTTCCAAGAGAATCTGCCATTGTACTTGAGTTCGACGGTGCCTCTGAACTGAATAAATCACCTAAAAAAGATAAGGCGGTGAATGTGTCTGAGAGAACAGTGTGTCAACCTAATGATCACCAATAAGAGGACAAAGTGACATGGTACTTCTTGCTATGATGCTAAAAATGCTAGTGAGCATTTTTAATTTTTATTTATTTTATTTTATTTTGGTCACAACATGAACATACTAGTGGTATTTACTATGTAGGGTCAAGAATTTTTTTTTTTTTAATGATATGATAGTTCCATAGACTGTAACAGTTCTAATCCTTATTCCTCAATTGCCCAGGGTACCACTGTCTGGAAGCACAAAGTTAACACATTTCAAAGAACAATGATATGTATAGTATGGAAAGAAATTTTAGATATGAATTCAATCAAAATTTATTTTTTGTGTGCAATAATTATAAATCTAGTTGATTTATAATTGCAAATCTAACTGAAAGAGAATTAATTATTTAATTTACCTGTTTATGTAATTTTACCAGACTCTTTTCACTTGGATAGGTATTACGCTTTTCATCAAAATCTTCATAATCATCCATGTTCCTACCCATTTTTTCCTGATACTCTGTAGGACACTAAAAAGAAAACAGATTTTTAAAATATTAATTATAAAAGATGAAAATTTATTTTTATTAAAAAATCTTTCATTCTTGGGCATCTTTAATTTTCTTGAAAACATTTTCTTCCTTTATTGGAATCTCTGAATAGATTTTCACTTGCTCACCTTTTTTAAAAAATGTTTTAAAAAATGTGTTCAGCTTCTTCTCACCTCTATTAACATTAATCTTTATCTCAGATATACTAGCTGGGGAATGGTCGAGACAATGGTAGAGGCAAACTTACCTTAATTGTAGGTAAGTTTACCTACATGAAGCAAATAGTATTTGAAAGGTGTATGCTAAATAAGCATCTGAAAAAAATGTCAATTATTTTTCTAGCTAAATCATGAAAAACATTACAAGAAATCCAAGGTGCTGAAGTTTTGAAAGGCACAATATAGAGAAACACATGTAGGATCTGGGGTATCTGCCATACTACTGGTCACTTATTACCTATATGAATTTGGGCAAGTTAGTTAACCTCTCTAAATAGGTCTCAAAAACTTACAATTACAAGAAAAATGGTCAGAAAATTTATCCCTATGACTAAAATAGCCAAAGTAACACTAGCTAACAATCAGTACAATAGGAAAAGACATATTTCAGTGGTTCTCAGGCTGCATAAAAGACAACTGGGGAACCACAAAGAACTGTGTTTGGAAGTATATGAATACCTGTAACTCAATACCACCGCATCAAAACCTTAATTATATGGTTTCTTATTAAATACATACTGTATACTTCATAATGTCAGTTATTTCGTGATTGATTATATTGTAAAATGACATTTAGAAAGCTAGTTGCAAGAAATTATAGACGTTAGTTTCTTTTCTTTTTTTTTAATGTTTATTTTTTAGTTGTAGTTGACACAATACACTTATTTTATTTATTTATTTTTATGTGGTGCTGAGGATCAAATCCAGGGCCTTGCACAAGCTAGGTGAGTACTCTACTCCTGAGCCACAACCCCAGCCCCAGTTTATTTTCTTATAAAAGAAATGCCTTCAGTGCTTATATACAATGGCACCTTAAAGGTTTATCTCCAACACTGTGTCATAGCAATTATTTTACATAACTCAATATTAACTCTATCTTCATGTTTTAGTAGAAAATATTGTCAATAATTAACATTAAACTTATAATAACAAGAGTAAAAAGTCTATGTACAAATTACTACTGGTTTATGGTTAATATTTCCATGAAAATGCACTGGGAAGACCTGAACCATAGACATTTTTATACTTTTATGATGCTTTTGTTGTTATTACATATTAATTTATATATTATGTAATTATATATTTTAAAATTACCTTTTTAAGTATTGTATCAACACATTTTCTCAATGGGTGGTTATACTTGATGCTTTCATTCACTTTACGAACCTCCTATAACAAGAACAAGAGGAATAAGAATATTTCCATTTCTAGAGGTGAGACATTTCAAGCTTACTAAAACTTTACAAGTTTAATTTCAACTCAAATTACTTAGCATTACACAGTTTTTTGTTTGTTTTGTTTTTTTACTGAATAAGAGTTCTTAAAAAGACATGCAAAAGTATAAGGCAACTGAATTGTATCTATTCACTCACTTTTTATTACTTTCTAGATTTATTCCCTTATCATTTGCTTACTTAATATACAAAGATGATTAAACATTATTTAAAATGTTCACAAAGGATCTGATAAACTGATCCTAAGAACAGGACTGTATTACTCCATCGTACTCATCAAGATGAATCATTTCATTTATCTAAAATACAGTGAAGAAACCAAAGAAAAAGACTACACATGTCACAAAGCACCTGATGTTTCCAATAGGAGAATGCTCCAGAGCAGCCACAATTGATTGATTCATCTCATACTTGTTTATTAAGATCACCCCATGTCAGCACTGTGGTGGCTATAAGGTGACCATAATACATACAGAATAGCAAGGTTGGAAGACATTGCATTGTCAATCTTTGACTCAAATTATAATGTAGTGGTAAGATAATTAAATAGGTAATTTAATGAAAGGCATAAAAAGAGTTAGGAAGAGGATTTTCTTTTTTTTTTCATAACCGTACTGGGAATTGAAATCCCAGGGTTGGTCTGCTACTGAGCTACATCCCTAGCCCTTTTATTTTTTAATTTTAAGACAGGGTCTTGCTGGCTTGAACTTGCTAGCCTTCTGACTCAGTTTCCTGAGTCACTAGGATTTTAGGCATATGTCACTGTGTCCAGGCAGATACACAAAAAATGAGAATACAGAAGAAATACAATTGATCCATAAATGTCTAAAAGATATTCAAGCTTACTAAAAACAATTATGAACTAGTAGTTCCTAAGAAATATTCAATAATATTCATGAAATAAAAACAAGAGTTGGAACCACTATTTCAGGCAGAAGAAACTCCATATCACAATCTGGAAGTTAAGAGGGAACTGAGCAGGATGTTAAAAAGAATATTGGTGGCTAGGATTGTGGCTCAGTGGTAAAATGCTTGTCTCACATGTGTGAGGCACTGGGTTCAATTCTCAGTACCACATATAAATAAATGAATAAAATAAAGGTCCATCAACAACTAAAAAAAAATTTAAAAAAAAGAACATTGGGACTATAAGGCAGAGAAGGGCTTCAAGGGATAGAGAACTAGAGGCAGAAAAAGTTATGAAAAAATATTTAATTTATATGACAAAGAATCACCATCCTTAATATATGAATAGCTCTTATTACTAAATAGAAAAAATAAGAATACAGAAGAAATACAATTGGTTTATAATTGCAATTATAATGTTCAAGCTTTCTATAAACAAATAATAATTTTTAAAAAAGAGCTTTCCTGCAGAATTAAAAAACTTGACATTATGTAGTGACATAAGAGTGTAAAGAAACAGGCCCTCCATATGCAGTAAAAAGTGATATAATCTATTTGGAGGGTTACCTGGCACTGTCCGTCAAAATTTAGTATATGCATACTCTAGGAATAATCTATACCAACAGACACTGCTCCTGTCAAGGAACTTAGCTTAATGAAGAAAACAGACATTAGTCAAGTAGAAATGATGTGGAAACTGCTGTAAAACAAAAAAAAAGTAAAATCCTCTGAGGGGGTATAATCTCTTGTAGGAGGCTTTCTGATACACTGATAAGTTAAAGTGAAATACAGGCTCAGGTTGTAGCTCAGAGGTAGAACTCTTCTTGGCTAGTACAGGCCATGGGTTTGACCCACAGTACCACAAATAAAATAAATAAAGTAAACTAAAATAAAGTTGCATATGATTTCAATGTGGCTACTGAGGCCTAACTAGACAGCCGTACTTCATTTAAAATTAGATAAAACAAAATATGTAGAAGTTAGTCAATTAAAAGGAGGGGCAAGAATATTCCAAATAGAAGAACAAGGACAGCAAATACGAAGGTCTCCAGGTAGAAGTGAACAAATCATTTTAGACAGGAAAAAAACAAATAAACAAACAAACATAAAACCAGCATGACTACAGAGAAAAGAAGAGTAAAGTCCTGACTAGCACTTCACTAGGCCGAAGAAGAAAATCAAAGTGCTCCTAAAAGGCATTAATAACAATTTATTTTGAGGTAAATGTGTGAGGCCCAAATGCAAGAGTGACAAGAACTTGAGTTTTTAAAATGTCCCTTTGAAACATTATTACATTTTAATTGTCTATTATTAAACTGCCTTAAAGTTTGTAATTGAGCACAATTTTATCCTACTTTGAAAAATGAACTACACAATCTGACTGTATATTCTATATAAAATATTTTACCTTTAAATTCCAAAGAGATGCATATTTTAAATATACCAAAGTAGTTTTGATAAACTGCATTTGGGGATTATGTGGATATCTAAGAATCTTTTCCCTGCTTGGAAAGTATCATTGATTGGTTACTTATTACTTTCTTTTTTTGGAGGGGGGTGGTACTGGGGATTGAACTCAGGGGTGCTTGACCACTGAACCACATCCCTAGCCTTATTTTGTATTTTATTTAGAGATAGGGTCTCACTCAGTTGCTTAGAGCCTTGCTTTTGCTGAGGCTGGCTCTGAACTGGAGGTCCTCCTGCCTTAGCCTCCTGAACTGTTAGGATTATAGGCACATGTCACCATGTCCAGCTTCCTTATTATTTTCAAAATACATTCTGGACTTTTCCATTTGGCATTCAAGGCCCAACTATGACTTTATCTTTTGAAGATAAACTCTATGTTCACTTTGATTTGGTTTAAAATATTCTGATATTTAACTGGAATGCTTTTAGCTATCAAAATTCTATTCATCCTTAAAGACCCAGGTCACACCAGGTCATACTATATCTCCTCTGATTACTATTCAGATAAGAAAGCTCTCCATATTAGAGCATTTTCTTTGTATCATTCACATCAGATTTACCATACATTATATGGGAGGATACAGTTTTCCACTCTAGACAGTTAATATTCTGTCAGTTCTACATAGCACTTCTTATGGCAGAAAGACAATAAGTACTTGTATATGGGCAAATGAAATCACATTCAAACCATTTTTTTTTTTTACAGGTAAGGGAGAAGGCTTCTGCTATCTATGTGAAACAGCTGCTATTATAATCCATTAAGAAAAGAGGTGTTTCTTATTCATATGGAAATTTTTCTCTTATCTAAAATTTTTTAAATCCCCCCACTTTAAACCTCTGAATACTAAAGTAGCATTGAAGGCACCAATGTTTTTTTCTTCATTTTCCACACCTTATTTCTAAGTACTCCTACCTAATAACAACATCTATTTCATTCAGTATATTATCAAATATAAATTTTCAAATATCTCGAATTTTCCTTCAGTTTCAAATTTTCAGGTATATCAAAATGTAAACATAAAATTATTAAATGTAAATTATCTTCTTTGAAAAATGTGATAACATTCATCATAGACTTGAGGAAATATATTCAAATATTTAGATATTTATTCCCACTTTTTGAATCAACGTTTGCTACAGTTCTTACATTTTATAGAGAATAAATGTGAAAAGTCAACATAAAATTTTCCACAGTATACTTTCATTTGTTCATTTATTCATTCACTTAAAAAATGGTTGCTGAGGGTCTAAGAGTCTGGGGAATAGAAAAAGCACTAGGGATTGAATTGTATCTTCTAACAATTCATATGTTAAAGCCCTAATCCCCAGTACCTCAGTATGTGGTCTTATTAGAAATAGGGTTGTTGCAGATAAAATTAGCTAAATTAAGACAAGGCCATACTGGAGTATAGTGGGCCCTAATCCCTCATAACTGGTATCTATAAAAAGGGGAACTTGAACACAGAGACACACAAGGAGAACACCATGTAAAGATGAAGGCAGAGATCTAAAATCCAAGGGATACCAAAGACTACAAGCAAGCCAGAAACTAGAAGGCAGGTGTGACGCAGATTTTCCTGACAGCCTTCAGAAAAAACCAAACTTGACTTTCACCCTCTAGAACTGTGAGACAATAAATTTCTGTCATTTAAGCTACCTAGTTTGTAGTACTTTTGTTATTGCAGTCCTAGGATGCTAATACAGAAGGCTTCCCCGAAGAATTCTCATTTATGTTAAGACCTGAAAATGAAGCAAGAAATTAGTTGAAGAAGGTCAAGAATATTTCAAGAGTGTGGGAAAAGCATGCTTAAAGACAGAAAAGAGAGGTAATAAATGTAATGATTAAGAGATAGGGGTCATCCGATCAGATCAAATCCAGTCCACTATTTGTTCTTATACTGGAAGACATGAATGCTCATTCATTTATGTATTGTCTATGGCTGCTTTCATGCTACAAAGACAGTAGTTAAAACAGGAGACCATTTGGCACACACTGCCTAAAATATTTACCATCCGGCCTTTACAGAAAAAAGTGTGCTAGTCTTTATTATAGCACAAGCTAAAGTTAGAATTTCTGGTTCTACCACTTACTAGCTGTGTGATATATAGGAAAGTTATTTAACCTCTCTGTGCATAATTTTCATAAAATGGGAATTAAAAATAAACTCTGTTACAGCTATTGTTTTAATTAAATACAGTTGACCCTTGAAACTGCTCAGATCCACTTGTATGCAGATTTTTTATTTTTGGAGGTTTGTAACAATTAAAAAAACCCAGAGGGCTGGGATTGTGGCTCAGTGATAGAGTGCTCGCTTAGCATGGGCGGGACCCGGGTTTGATTCTCAGCACCACATAAAAATAAATAAATAAATAAATAAATAAATTCCCCCACCTCCTTAAAAAAAGTAAATAAATAAAAACCCACAGATGAACCACATAGCCTAGAAATATTGTAAAAAATATTTTTTAAAGTTAGTTCTGTTATGAATGCATTAAATGTACATAGGATAGTCTATTATCATTTACTACCATAAAATATATACAAATTTATTCTAAAAAGTCAAAATTCATCCAAATGTACACACACTTACAGACCATACATAGCACCATTTGTAGTCATGAAAAACGTTAAAAATGTAAAGATACAGTATTAAGTCATAATTGCTTAAAATTAACTGTAGTATATATGACTGTAATACATTTCGTAACCACCTCTTGTTGCTGTTGAGGTGAGCTTAAGTGTTGTGAATATCCACTTAAAACCCTGTAGCCCTGTTCAGTTCCTCTTCTCAGTAAATTGCATATCTCAGTAAAAAAAGGTCTCTCATTGGTTCTAGTGTATATTTCACCATATATAACACACATATAAATTTGTGTTAATCAATTATTTATGTGATTAGTAAGAGTTTAGGTCAACAACAGGCTACTAGTAATTAAGGTTTTTTGTTTTTTGTTTTTTTTTTTTTTAGTAGCAGGGATTGAACCAAGAGGTACTTAAATCACCGAGCCACATCCATAGCCTTTTTTATATTTTATTTAGAGACAGTGTCTCACTAAATTGCTTAGGGCCTCCCTAAGTTACCAAGGCTGGCTTTGAACTTGGGATCCTCCTGCCTTAGCCTCCCCAGCCACTGGGATTACAGGTGTGTACCACATGCATAGCAGTAGTTAAGTTTTTGAGGAGTCAAAAGTTATGTGGATTTTTTATTACATGGGATCAATGCCCTTAACCTCTTCCATTGTTCAGGGTTAATTGTATATTAATATATGTCAAGTATTTAGAAAGACTTAGGCAAACAGTAAGTCTAAAACTGTTTTCTTGAGGTTGTATTGATGTGCAGTTTTACTAGTGGTATATTCATATATGAACAGAGGAAAGTATGTCTGATTCATTCTACTGTCTTTCCTGTTTGTTATTATTATCATTATTAAGTTTAAGGAACCAAAGTTGAGTGTTACATAAATATTAAGTCTAAAGAATTGTTTACTGTTTCATTATTAGCAAGTCTGAGTAACCAAAGTGACCAGAGTAAGGAAGATGGGGGATTGGGATAAGGCTGGAGAGCTAAACATGGGCCAAATTAATTTTTTGTAGGCCATATTAGAACTTTAGGAGTTAATGCTAACTCCTTTTATGAATGAAAGGCTTTCTACATGAGGTTTTAAATTGGCAACTAACATCACCAAAGTGGCATGTTTTCTTCTGGGAGAAAAAAATGTCTACAATACCTCTTTTAAATTCATGACCAAGTTATTATTTAACACAGCAAATTTTTATAATTTGTTATATATTTTTGTGTACATTCCTAAAAGTAATGACTTTCAAATTATACTTTGAATAAGGTGAAGTTGGTTCAAGTAATTTGCATTTTACAAGTGAATACAATGAATTGCCTAATTAAGATTACAGATAAGGAACAAAACTTGCTGAAACAAACTTTCATGCAAATTATTCTCAGTTTCCCACATGGTGGGATTGCCTTTGGTTAAACTTTCAGGAGCTAATGTCCTCTGATCACTATTTTCATTTCCACTATTTTAGAGTAACCATATAACTTATTGTCTAATCTGGGAAATTTCTGAGCATAAAAGAAGGCACTATTGAAAGTACCCCAATACAACAGGCATAGCCTTATACTACTGAACATAATTTCCCAGACATTTGTCAGAAGAAGATGACACCTCAAAAGATTGCTTCCTTTAGCATGTGTAAGGTCCTAGGTTTGATCTCTAGCACTAAATGAAATAAGAAGTTATTCTGATAGAGACATCATCAAATTTGCATTTTGAAGCCCATTCATGTGCTACCAACAATCAAAAATTTGGTGACCAAAAGGAGTTACATAATACTTGTGAAAAGTTGCTTTTGTGAGATTTAAAAATGCTTACCTCCATAACATCTTCCAAATTCTCTTCTGCATCTGCTTTCTCTGTCATCAGTTTGGCTGCCTTGAAATAAGTTTTCATAAGTAGATAACCCCTTTTAGCTCCATTCCAATATGACCGAGGAATTTCCACCAAGCCATACCCCAACAACAACACAAGAAGAAACAGACCCCATGTATTGGCAGCAGCTATTCCAATTGTCTGAAGTTGGTTCCTGAGAAAGAGAATAATAAAGCTATAATAAATACATCTTCCTACAAAAATGCAAAGTAAAACTAACTAGTATTAAATGCTTTTTGAGAAAACTGTCCTAAAAGATGGAAAAATTATTTATATATATATACCTTCAAATCCTGTTATTTTTTTCACTCACAGCAAATAAGTATATTTTAATGGAAAGATAAAACAACTATAAAAATGGACTTTAACATAAGAAATACTGTTTCAATTATAATCAAAATTAGAACCCACGATAATTCATGGCAAAAAAAAATGTGTACATATTTTCGCAAACAAACATACTTTTCACCAGGTACTTTCTTATTTAATACTACCCAAGAGAAGGCTGAAAAAATTTCAAATTAACTTGTGTCAAAGCCAATCTACACAAATCCCAGGAACATAACAGTGACACTTATCACTACTACTCTATTCCTAAATTTTCAGACCTGGCTTTTTGCATACATTACCCATCATAAAAACAAAATAGATTTCAATTTCATTGAAATATCTAAATCTAAAATACCTTTAAGGACAAATATGCTCTTAAACTACAATTAAAACAAAAGATACAAATATTTACAAGTTCTGGTGAGGAAAAAAAAACCAGCTATTTGTTCATTTATAAAATTTGAAGTCCTATCGAAAAATAATGTTATTAGGTGGGCACAGTGATTCATGCTGTAGTCCCAGAGACTTGGGAGGCTGAAACAAATGGATCACAAGTTCAAGGCCAGCTCAGAAAATTAGTGAAGCCCTAAGCAACTTAGTAAGACCCTGTCTCAAAATGAAAACTAAAATGTTCTGGGGATATAATTCAGTATTAAAGCACCTCTGGATTCAATCCACAGTACCAAAAAATAAAAACAATGTTATTACTTTTAATATATAGCTATTAGTCAAAGCATTAATCTACCACTTACTGGTTACATTTAAAGATGCTATTCCACATTTTCTTTCTTAGCAATAGAGATTATTCAAATATTCTTTGGGGGGAAATTAATAAAAAAAATTTTTGGAATATTTCTTGAGAAATGACCTGTATATATGAGATAAAAATTGATTTTTAAAAGTGCAAACATTCACAGAACGTTAAGAACACTACTTTTCTTACCATTCTAAATGTAAACGTGGGTTTACAGCTACATAAATTAAAAATGCTCCAAAAATCAGCAAATAGGTGCCATAATAGATTGCATTCTCAATCAGTGCAGTTTTTATTTTTCCAGTGATAGAAAACCCTCCAGATCTTGCATATGACTGCATGAAAGGTAAGAGAATCCTAGATGGGGGGAAAAATATAATAAAAAACAAAACAATTATATATCGATATAATTTCAAAACACAATACATAAATCTCAAATTTAATATGCAATTCTCAGTAATAAATACAGTTATGAGTATTACATGTTAATACTGAATAAACATTATTAGGTGACTGTTTATTTTTGTAATATTAAACTTGACAGAAAGCAAATGCCCTAAGGCAAGAAAGAGCACTTCCTAGGAGAAAAGGAGGCCACAATGACCAGCAAAAAATACAAAAGTGTTAAATGACTTCAGATGAGTCTAAAAACAGACCTTTAAAGCCTTTATGCAGAGTTTGGACTATACCCAAAGAATGAGAAACATTTTCTTTAATAGTAAGAAAGGTATGATCAAATTTAAATTTTCTATGACTTCACCAAGGACAATGGATGGAGAGGAAACAAAACCAGAACTAACTGGGAGTGGCAAGGGTAGAAGTAATAAGAAGCAGAAGAGGAAAAGACTGGTTGTCAACCTACTGATTCTAAAGTACCTAAAGATATCCAAGGGAGACTTCAAGAGGAGGAAGTAGTTGGCTATCCAACTTTAGAGTTCAGAAGAGAGTACTTAGAAATGTCAACTTTTAAGGAAGAAGTAAAGAAAAAGGGGAAGAAATCAGAGGAGACTGAGATAGAACAATAGAGGGTCAAGGAAAAAATTCAAGGAGCAAGTTAAACAAAAACCAGAGAAGGAAGTATTTGAAAGTGGAAACATAAAACAATAGAATAAAATGCTGCCAAGAGGTCCAGTAAACTGATGACCTCTATGTGTGAGTGGAGGCTTGGGTGTAAAAAAATGGGTACACGGGTTGAGGAATAACTAAATAATGAATAAATGGAGATGTCAAATGATAGTTCATTTAAGAAGTTTGGCTAAGTAAGATAAACCATGGTATGTACATAAAATGAAATATTTTATAGAAATTAAAAAGAACAGAACACTAATACATACAATGTAATGTAGATGAATCTTCCAAATATGTAAGCAAAAAAGAAATGCAAAAATATCCATACCATACAACTAATGTTTATAAGGTTCACAAACAGGCAAAGCTAATCTATGGTGATGCAAGACAGAATAATGGTTATGGGGCTGGGGTTGTGGCTCAGTGGCAGGGCACTTGCCTAGCATGTGTGAGGCACTGGATTTGATTCTCAGCACTACATATAAATA